GCTCTGTTATATGTCACGACCTATAATATTGTCGACAATTGATATATTGACAGCACGAAAATGAGTATTATAAATTGAAATCGCACGCGAAAATGATCATAAAATCTACATAATGCAAATGATATATGTTATCTTTTTATGTTTCTACATCATTAAATTCTAAATCACTGGTATAAAATATTTTTAGTGTTAAATATTTGATTGTAAACTTTTTTTGTTTATAATTTGCTATAGTACTTACAGCTCTGTGTACACATCTATATTAAAAAAAATGAATCAACTTTGTACGACTGCAGATCGTTTAAAAGAGCACCATGGCTTCAGTCTACACAAACAGTCCTTGGTAGTTTCAACATGCCTCATTTTATACACCGTTACAACGGGAATGTTGCTGAACGATAATACCTATAATTTTATCACGTGAAAGTGATTTGAAATTGAACAATTATTATATAATATATTCATAATTATGCTACTAGTGTTAAACATTTTTGTGTACACTTAGTAAAATAGAAGACCAGATAGTAAAGTTTATCTCGAACCCATTGTCATGTGGGAGTTGATTCCGTTTGCCTAACCCTGTCAAACTGGCGGCGGTAATGACCTCGTCCACGACCTCTATTCCGATGACCATGATTATTATGTCCATGGTAAGTATGATGTAATTGACGTGACTGATATTGAGTATGGTTTTGTGCCTGATGTAAGGTCTGCCTTGATTGTGATAACTGCTGAGAAAATTATTTTGATACTATGATAAAACTACTCCTTACAATACATTGTAGTAATAATAATAACAACTTTAAATAAATAAAAGTATATAAACGTACCATTTGATTAACAGGTTGTACAGTCTGATTTGAATATGTATTTAAACTTGTTCCTGGTGGATTTAATTCTTCAGTAGCTGCTCCAGATTCATCTTCTGTTCTTACCAGTAATTTTACTCCTTCGGCTTCCAAATCTATTATGCCACCTCTTTGTTGTTGCCTTAAGAATAATGCTGCCATTTGCTTCTGTAACTCTTTCAATTCTGCAGTAACTGAAAAATCTGTTGCAGCTTCAACGTCAATTGGAAGTGGAGCTGACCAAAGGCTTTCTACATCGCAATTAATTGATTCTCGACATACGGGACATATAGCCTGCACAAATACGTTATTGCTAAATGAAGTTATTAAATAATTATAGATGTAATTATATTAAAAAGAATATGAATTACACTAAGTGTTAAATTTAAATACTAAAAATTCTCATTGTACCTGAAACTTATTTTTAGCATCTTGCTGCCATTGTGGTAATTTTTCTTGTTCTTCTCTATAATACCGTTCTGCAGCAGCTACATGAGCTGCTAAGCAGTGTGAATGAAAGTAATGATAACATTCTGTTTTTGTAAATTCATCTCTTTCTCGAAAACCATACAAACATATGGCACATTGATCCGTAGGAAGATTACTTCTTGTAAGATGTTCTCTTATTAGCTGTTAAAATAACAATAAAATAATATCACTAATTAAATCACAATATAAAACATACAATCATTTATTATAATACAAATAATGATGCATATATAACATACCTCAATAAGTTCAAACATAACTGGCTGACCTATAAAATCATTACATTTTGCTTCTGCATCTGACTGCATAAGCTTCACCGTTTCTTCATCTAATCCTCTAGGGTTTTTAAGATTAATAGTAGGTGATACATCTGGATATCCCTTAGATAATTGCACAATTAATATTACACAAACATATT